GTCTAGATTTTTTTTTTAATCCTCACCAGAGGACATTTTTGCATTTGTCTTCAGATAGAGTGGGAAGGAGAGAGAGAGAGAAACATTGAGGTGAGAGAGACACATTGAGTGGCTGCCACCCACACAACTCCAACCAGGGCTGGGGACAAACTGCAACTGAGGTACGTGCCCTTAGCAGGAACTGAACCTGGGCCTCTCTGGTCTGCGGGCCAATGCTCTAACAGCTGAGCCAAACCGGCCAGGGCCTGTCTAGGGTTTTTAATCATGCAGAGTGCCTCTTCTTTCTATGGAGAGGTGGATGGGGTGGGCCCACGTGACAGATTATCCAGCTGATGCTTGACCAGGAAATTCCAGACTGGTTGATTAAGATTGCAGTTTCATTAGGTCAGGTATTAAATCTATGTTTGGTATCATGGGCTTTTTTTAGCATGAGTGCTGTCACTTTGGGCCTATGTTTTTTTTTTTCTTTTTCTACATAACCTTAAAATGGTCACGTTCTGATGATCTTCCTAGAAACAATCATCTGGAGGTATGTATGTTTAATCCAGGCTGCATAAGATTCCAGTTATAAAGTGGGATTAAAGATAAGCATACAATATCAATGGTGAAAATATCATGAGCTAGAATCAGCACAACAAGAACAGCATCCTCAAACACTTCACAAAATAAAATTAACAGAGAGTCAGGTAATTATATTTTAAATGGTTAATGACATAAAGAGAGTATCATAAGTATGAGAAAAGTATAGGACATAATCAAAACAGATTAGGCAGATTCTCTAAAGACACAATTAGAGTTTGCAGACAGGAAAACATAGTCACAACATTGATTTTAATGGAAATCTAAAGGCGTGATTACACAGAATAGTAGGCAAAGCTGAGGAGAAATTAGATAAATAAAAAATAGAGATAAAGAAATCACATGGAATGTTAACACAGATAAAGAGATGAAAAAGATAAAATACAGGCTTAGATAGAAAAAAAATCTCAATGTTTTCTTACAGCAGTGTTAATGAAGAGCACAGAAAAAATGAAACAGTAGCCATATTACAAGAGGTGATGAGAGTTATCCAGCATAGATGAAGACACAAAGTCTTAGATTACAATGATTCTGATACACACTAAATAAAAGAAAACCCACACACAAATATATTATAATAAAACTCTGAACTCTAAGGACAAATGGAAGGATTTCAAATAATAGAGAAAAACAAGCTACCAAAGAACATTTGGATTGAAGGACAATTTCTTTTTTTAATTCTCACACGAGGACATTTTTCCATTTTTGTTCAGATAGACCGGGAGGGAGAGAGAGGGAAAGGGAGAGAGAAACATTGACGTCAGAGAGACACATCGACTGGGTGCTTCCTGCATCACCCGAACCAGGGCCGGGACGACCTACAACCTAGATACATACCTTTGACCAGAATCAAATCTGTGACTCATCAGTCCAAGGGCTGATGCTCTGACCACTGAGCCAAACCAGCCAGGGCTGAAAGGCAATTTCTCAATAGCAACAATGGAAGGCAGTATATAATTTTATCTTCAAAATGCTGAGAGAAAATAGTTATCAACTTAGATTTTCATATCCACACTAAAGTATAGTTTAGTGTATAGTTTATCATTCATGTATTCTCTGCAAGGATTTATAAAGGAAGTGCTTGAGTAAGAGGAAACTGAACTCAGAAAAAAGGTAAGAGGTACAGAAAAATTTTGGAACAAAGGAAATGGTTAACCAGTAATCTAAAAAGATATTGATAGTATAATTCCAGTGACTAATTGGCATTACAAAAAGGTGGGACTAAAACATCGTTAATAACATCATGAGTAAGGTTCCAAGTTTCCTGTATTATTTGGAAGAAGGGTAGTGGATTAAGCCAGTTCTTTTTGCTTAAATCTTAAGTATATTCACCAAAGTAAGATAAATAGAATGTAGGATTCTAAACTAGTGAAAGAAGAAAGGAAAATGAAGAAAAATTCAATCATACAATGGAAGGCAAGACAGAGGAAAAAGCACAGGAAAAGCAGGACAAAGTAGACAAAATAATATGTAAGAAATAAATACAAATGTCGCATTCATCACAATAAATGTAAATTGACCAAACTCTAGTTAAAGGCAAAAATGGTCAGAATGCATTAGAAAATGTAATCTAGCTTTCTTCTTGTTGTAGGAGAAATATCTAACATAATAAGGATATATAAATGTTGAAAATAAAAAAATAAATGTAGTAAAGATTTACTGAAAAATAGCCACAAGAAAGTCAAACATAAGAGACGTTAAGATTAAAAAACATTAATTGGGCATAAAATGAATTAATACCCCGATAAAAGAAATAATTCATCAAGCTACAACAATTCTAAATACATAGGCACTTGATAATATGCTCTCAAAATGTATTTTACAAGGAGAAACAGACAAATCTATAGTGGTAAATTTTATTTGAATGGCTTAATTATTAAGCTTAATAGAAAGGAACAGAAGTGATTATGCAGATATTTTTAAACAATATATTGTAGAAGTGATATTGAAAATCTAAAAAAATGACTCATATAGAAAAATTATATAAATCTTTGCCTCATATCATACACAAATAAAGCACCTGAACATGAACAGCAACATTTAAAACTTAAAAGAAAATATTGGAGAATGCTTTTATATCCATGGGGAGAAAGACTTTCTTAAATAAGACATTTTACAACTGATTTTCTACAAAAAAGATGATATAAACAAAGTATAAAGATATGCCATACACAGGGAGAATATATTAGCAACTCAGAAAGTGACAGGTGATTGGTACCTACTATAAATACAGAACTTCTATAAACCAGTAAGAAAAGAAATAACAAGAGAAAAAATGGAAAAGTTATGAATATGTAATTCAAAGAAGAGGGATCCTTAGTGAATGATAAACATGTAAATAGATGCTCAAACAGGACTAAGTGTTTTGTACTTATTAATTTATTTGACCTTCATAACAACCCTATCAAAGAGTCATGTTGCTTCCTCTTGAGAACTCTGAACAAAAACTAGCTTTTCAAGGGCAATCATCTCCTGATTTGTTGGCTTTCTGTACCTCAAATTCTCCATTAATATACTATATTTTAATGCAGAAAGGGAAAGGGGAAAAGTGTGTGTGTGTGTGTGTGTGTGTGTGTGTGTGTGTATTTCCGGCAGAGGAAATAGCTTATATGAAGGTTAAGGAGAGTAAAGAACTGAAAAGTCTAGTGGGGAGTAAGAAACAGAGTGGAGAGTAGTAAAAAATAAGCTCAGAGATGAAGATGATAGGAAGAAGTCAGATAAAGGAAGGTTTAGCAAACTTTTTATACATACATAAGTAAATAAAATGTCTCAAGGAGACATCTATATATACATAGAGATATATATTAATTATATATATCAAGAATACATATATCTTTGATACATATATAATATAAATAGAAGGAAAGACAGGAATTCAAGATGACTCATATTTTTTTCTTGAGCAACCAGGTTGACAGTGTTGTCATTAATAGAGGTAAGTAACACTAGAAGAGTGATATTTGGTGGAGGGAAGATGATAGATTCAGGTCTGGACATATTAAAAGTCGAGTTGTTGAGTTATCAAGCAGATGGCTGTGTATATTTATGTCTAAAGATGAGAAGAGTTCTGGTCCAGAGACACAACTTTGAGAATGATCAGCATAGAGGTGGCAGTGCAGCCATTGAATACAGAGAATGAAAACAAAGAAGACTTCTAGCACAGCTTGATATTCAATAACACTTGAGGAATGTACAGAGAAAAAAATGAGAACTAGCAAAGAAAATGGAGATGTAAGAGAAAAGTCACGGGTGCATAGCTTTATAGAAACCACAGGATGATGCTATTTTAAGGAGGACTGAAAGTCCAACAGTGCCATATACTGTTGAGAAATCCAAACAGAGGACGACAGATGATTTCTTTGGAGTTAGTGATTTGGTTGTCATTGTTGAACTTGGCAAGAACAATTAGTGTTGTGGTGGGGTCAGAAGTGCTATTGCAGGGCATTAAGAGGTAAGAGGGAAGTGAATAAAATGAGAGAAAATACAAAGAGCTCATTCAATCTACACGTTTTGAAAGCTGGCGGCTAGTTCAGAGACTTTCACAAGAAGGTACTAAGGTGAATGTGCACTTGTAGTGCATTTTGGAAAATAGTTTTTTCATGGATTCTTCCTACTCCTCTAACCCTTCAACAAAACTTGTCTGACCAGAGCTCTGTTCTCCTGGGTACTTATTAGGTGATATTACAAAGAATAAGAAAAATTAATTTTCTTGTGGTGTTAGAATGAAATAATTCTTTCTTTCTTTCAAAGAACTTTTGCATATTACTTGAAGGATTGAGCAATGTGGGCTTTTGAGGCAATTGCAGTAGGGTTAGCAAAGGGTGATTATTTTAGTTATGAATGCTTGACTTATCACAACATCTGAATAGATACACATTCAACTAAGGCAGGAAGGGCAAATAGCTAGCATGCTTACTGCTACTCCCTCTATTATTAATTCATGACAGGCGTGCTTGAATTTGCCACAACACACTTTATTGTTATAGCATTGCACGCAGACCAAAAACCAAAGCCACTTTAATGTTGGTTATTGTGTTCTCATCTTGGATGCATATGTTCAGGACCATAGCACTACACAACTCCAGGGGGCACTGTTTATACAGACTACATTGTGAGTAGTATCCACTGAATTTATACAACAGGATAACACTATTACTGTACTTTCACCCAAATCTCTCTCCTCCTTTCCTCCTTTTCCTACCAAGAATTAAATATGGTTATTTACACTGGTAGGTAAATAGGTCATATCTGACATGTTTTGTTTATGTTTTGGCATTGTTTTTTAAGCTGCCCATGATACTATTTTTATAATATTACCATGAATTATGTGAAAGTTTTATTCATTATCCATGCTGTGAACGAAAGTCAAATGGACCAAATTGCACCCAAGATTTCATATTTTTTAATATAGTTTCACTCACCTCAGCTTGACAACACGAGCTCTGATGAACTGATTTCTTAAACTTGATTCTTTGAATGTTGTAGTAATCTGTAGAAAAAAGGGGGAAAAAACCCTCTCTGTAATTGCAGTTCCTCTCCTTAGTTCTTGCTACCAACCTTGCAAGTTGAGACTTATGTTAATGAGGTATAGAGATGTGAGTTATTACTTTAGATAAGTTTCGTTTAATTCTATTTCAGAATGCATGGGATTGATTTAGGCAGGTTATATAAACTTTTGATGTAGACCCATTTCTTCATTTATTGCACAAAGATGATAGTAGATAGGATGTGTCTTCGCTAGAAGCCATTCTAAACACACCAGATGTTTTACTAAATGAAAGTTCATGTTCTGTGATTTGGTGGCTGTTCCTAGGGGGTTGGGGCAGGGATCAAGGCAACATTAAGGAAGTCCACCGATACAATTTACATTGTGTAATCCTTTGGCAATGGTTTTAAAAGGGGTTAAGCCAGATTAAAGTGAGTAGCAGTGGAGGTCTTGAGGAGAAAGGGGGAAATAAGCAAAGGGTGGCCTTTTCTTTGCTATTTTTGACCAATGTCTTAGCATCAGTTGGTAATTTCCTGATCTAACCTTAGCTATTTCCCTGAATCATTGCTCATTCCCAGCAAAGCTGGGCCTCTTTAGGTATAAAGTTTAGCTTTACAATGAAGTAGGAGTGGTTCTGGGACTGGAACAGTTCCCACAAGTTGCAGGGTCAGACACAGTAAGTTTTTATAACAGAGAGTAGCATCTGTTCACTTGTACTGTGAGGTTGCACCAAGGTAGAGGACATGAAAAGATGAAGGTAGGGAAAGTAAGTAGTGTACTGTATGTTGCATTAAGCCAGGTTTTGAAGCCAATTCTTTTTGGAATTGTAAAGTTTATGCAATCTCTATTGCACCATGTTGTATTTTACTTTTTCAGCATCTACTCCCATCAGGTAGATATCAGATCAACCAGCTGTTTGACAAAATTATGATTTTTAAATTTTTCGCGAGAGTCCTGAAACATTTTTAAGAACAATAAGACTATTGTTTTATCAAAATATTCATGTTCTTTTTAATATCTCCTAATAAGCATATTGTTTTAGTTAAGGCATTGTTTCACCTGTTAATATGGCTTTAGGCAGGAGTAGGAGAGTGTGGGTTCTGATATTACCTTACTGTTCATTTGCTTGTTGACTACTGTGGTTGCATATTAGGGTTATTGTCACATCTAGCTTTTTATATTTGTGTTTTGTAGAATCCTAATTGATTTTGATTTTGGGAAGTTTTGTTGATTTTTGATAGATTTGGGGGAGATTTAGTTTATTTTGAGAATTGGGTAGTATAGTTATTAAATCTAGTGGAAACTGCAGATCATTAAACTCTACTGAGAGCAGATAAATGTGTGTTGAAGCCCAGTCAGTTCTACTGTTACTACCCTCCTCCTCTTCCCTCAAGATATCTTCACACATGTGTGTGGGACCAGCTGACACAAAACCAAACAATGTGCCAGTGTCAATCCATCTGTGACTCTCTTCCTGGGATGAACACCCTTATTTAGGAGACAACTGTGAGCTCCACCCTGAATGCAATATCTTTATTTTGTTTCCCTAGGATTTAGCACAAGAAACAGATATTATGCATAATGTATGCTTTCATTCAACAAACATTTAAATGTCAAGAATGTGAAAATTTTCTTTTAGGCATTAGGGAATAATCAATGCTTGTCAAATGGATGTATCTGAAATAACTTTTACTCAAAAGCCCTAACAGTATAAGTGATATGATTAAGGTGAATTTCAAATTGATACTGCTTTCTTTTTCTTTCTGTATCCTAGTTTGTTTATGCGAGTGCCGTCAGGTATGTTTTGGAGAAAAATGCAATTGTTTGCAGTATCTGTTGCAATACAACCTCTGATACCAAATGGGAATTGCAATGGTTCAGTTGATCCCAGGGTGAATCCTGATAGAAATCTCGTGTTTTATTTGGAGAGACCCATTCAATAGGATGCATTCATACTTTCGATACATGCATTTTGCAAACAGGAGCTTCCATTATTTCCAAATAGCCTTATTCATTTTTAACTCATTCAACAACAGTTATTGAGTACTTCCTGTGCTCCACACCCATTGTATCAAGTACTGGGATACAATAATGAGAGAAAATGGACAATCTTTGCCATCATGGAGCTTACATCTAATGGGGGGGGGGTAGATGGTCACAAATCAAATTATCATCTACATTTAAATAAAATAACTTTGATAAGTATAGCATTATAGTGGAAGAATTAGATCCACTCAGTGAGATTAGAGAAGCTTCTTAGAGGAAATGCTCATGGAGCTGATATCTTCAGAAAGAATCAGAGTTAGCTGGTTAATGAGGAAGGAAAACCTCACAGGTGAAATGAATGGCACATGCAAAGTGCTGCCACGGGAACGAACAGGTTGTTTTTAAAGAATAAAATAAGTCTAGTGCAAGTAAGTAGCATAGAGAGCAAAGGGGCTAGGGTGATAGGAAAGGCCAGATTATACAGCATTTGGTCTTTATAATCAATAATGGGAAGTCACTCAAGTGTTTTAAGCAAGAGGGAAATATAATCAGATTTGCAATATGAGAACAGTATCCCTTACTGCATATGGATAACATATTTTAGGAAAGACAATGCAAATTAGTTATGGTGTTATTTTAATACTCTAGAGTAGAGGTGATGACTTGGATGGGCATGGTGGTAACACAGGAGAGAAATGCATGGATTTGAGGAAAATAATGGGGGCATAATACATACAAGACCTGGTATCAAATTTGATATTTGGAATGACAGAAAGCAGTATGTCAAGGATAAATTCTAAATTTTTGGTTTGAAAGACTGAATAAATAGTATTATTAATGGGGTAGGATTGTTGGGGAAAAAGCTAGGACGGTATGAAAGATCATGGTTTTGGGACATAATGTATTTGATATTTTTAAAAACAGTCAAGTAGAGATATCAAGCTGGCCATTCAGTGAAAAGCTCTGAAGTACAACAGAAAAGCCTGGGCTGAAGAGACAGTGAGTCATTACTGTTTAAATTTGGTTGAAGTCATGGTCAAGGATGAGATCATCTAGAGATAGAAAACAGTGTGACAAGAGAGGAAAGTATAGGCCAAAAACCTTTGGGATTGTGAACACTAAAGAGCAGTGTAGAGGAAAGTGGGCCTGTAAAGGAACACAGAGGCAGGGCCAGAGACACAGGATGACAGAGACAAGAAAAACAGGTGAATCGGTGGCATGAATATCTCTCATGGAATTCACAAAATCATGGACTTTTTGATTAGAAAGTACTATAAAGATCATCTAGCCCAACAATTTTACTTTACCGATGAGTAAACTGAGAACCAGGAAAGAGTAGTGAATTGCTTAATATAATAGAAGGTTCTAGGACTGTTTCACTGCTTATTAAGTATAACAATATTTTCTATAGGACAGGGATAATGATGGTACTGATGTTACCATTGGGAAATTGTATGATACTTGGATTTGTGGTTAGAAGATCTTGGTTTGAATTCCGGTTCTACCACTTTCCAGTTGAACGACCTTTGGTGTTTCTTAATCTCATAACCTTTGCTCACTTGTCTATAAAAATGATAATATATGTGAAAATGCTATGTAAACTATAAAGCACTATATTAAAATATTATTTATGTAATTTTTTGAATGTTCAAAGTGTTTTCACAGAGGGATAAATATATAAGATTACAATAATCATACATCAGAAGAATTTCAAAGGAGATCTTGCTTTGCCAGTAGTGTTTAAATATATTCTAAAGCCACAGTCCTCTAAATAGTTGGGTACTGGTGCAGACAAGATTAATCAGTGGAAGAGAGGAGAGTACAGGGGAAAAAAGGAGAAATTTAGTGTATAATAAAGGTAGCATGACAAATAAATCAATTGCATTATTTAACATATAGTTTGGGTACCACTATCTAGCTATTTCTTGGCAAATAGCTGGATCTCTACCTTACTATAAAATAAATTCTAGAAGAATCAAAGATAAAATGACAAAAACTGACATAATAATAGTACAAAAAGAAAATGTGAGTGAACACGTTATAATATCTGGAGTGGAGAAAGACAATTTAAACCTGGCACAGAAGTAAAGGACCATAAAAAAGCTTGATAATTTTGGCTACATAAAAATATTGAATCTATTGGGCATTAAAAACCCTACATTATAAACAAAGTCAAATCCCATATTAGATAAATATATGCAACATGAATGATAGGTAAATTTTAATATTCTAATAAAAGCACCACCCCCCCAAGATTATATAAAAAACACAAATGCTCCATCCATCAAGAAAATGGGCAAGGTTATGACCAGGAAATTAAAAAATAAAATAATAAAAATGACCCATTAATATATGAAGGCAGATTAAATCACACTAGTAATAAAAAATGCAAATGAAATAATGGGTATCACTTTTTACTTATTGGCAAAAATTAACAAGATTTGTAACGCCTAGTGTTAATGCTGTGGGAAAATAAGCACATTTACATCTACTTATATATTACTGGTGAGAATGTAAACTGGGGCCCTCTTGGAGTACAATCTAGAAATTACGGTAAATGTTTAAAATGCATAGACCACACTATATTGATATAAAAAAGTGCTTGAATAAACAAATACATGGGAAAAACAGACAAATAGAAGGACTTAAATATTCTTCAAATATTCAAGGCATAACTCTCCACTCATTTATTTTTAATGTGTGGCTCGTACATAGTGTCTTGCTTCTGAAGAGCACAGTGTAGAAAAGGGAGGGAGTACCTTCAGTGTAGAAATCTGACAAACCCTTCTTTAGCCAGGTGATCATGGTCAACAGTGAGAAGTCATGTTGATAATATGCACCCCTTTCATATGATGTAATGAAAATGACACTTTCCTCTGTGGTCTTCATCCCCCAAACCCATAGCTCCAGTCTAACCATGACAAAAACATCAGAAAAAACCCCAATTGTGGGACATTCTATAAAATACCTGGCCGGTACTCCTCAAAGCTGTCAAGGTTATAAAAAACTAGGAAAATCTGAGAAATTGTCATAGGTGAGGGGTGGGAAGAAAAAATCTGAGAAATTGTCAAAGGTGAGGGGTGGGAAGAGATTAACCAAAGAACTTAATTGCATATATGCATAACACATGGACACAGACAACAGTGAGGTGAAGGCCTAAGGGGGTGCGAGAGCAGATTGGGAAGGGACAGTGGGGGAAAACATCCATAATACTTTCAACAATAAAGATAATTAAAAAAAACTCTTAATAAGGGACTGGTTATATAAAATATTGTATATCTACATACTATAATATTGCTTACTTATTTAAAATGGTATATTTCTAAATTTATTGACATTTAACTTTTTAACATATTTTGGAGAGAAAAGTAGATAAATTAGCATATATAGTCTGATTCCACTGACTGATAATTATATATGTTTGGGCATGTATGATGCATGCAGTTTGCATAGAAAGGTACCTGGAACATTAAGATGTTCACAGTGGTTATATCTGAGTGTTGAGATTTTGTGCATATTCCTTTCTTCTTTAAATTTCTTAAATACCCTGAATTTTCTACATTTGTATATTATCTTTATAACAAAAGAGAGTACTAAAAATACTTTGATTTTGATAACAAGGTTTATACATACATTATGATTTACTCTAAGGAATCTTTTTGAGAATAAGAATGGCAAGCTTAGATTAGGAAAATTTAATAATTTTTATTTTAATACTTTTTTAGTCACTGGGGGGTGGGTTCTAAAAACTTATTGAAGGATTCCAAATGTGCTGGTGGTGCTTTAGAAAAGAAATTAATTTAGTTCCTAGTTTTCAAATTGTTGAATATATGTTATGCTTTATTATGCCATTTCTCTTCAAATAAGCCTTTTGCAATTTTATATATGCTCTACTAAGGATGAGCTGAGCTAACATACCTGATCTGTCTGGCAGGGACTGAGTGACCTCCTTAGGGCTGAGGACATCTCTGACATTTTACTGTAAGACAAATAACTGGGTTCTACTCCCTATATTGGGAGTCTACTCAATATCTACCCTTTCAGTCTGCTCCCTTTATTGAGCTGTGTACACAGCTGAAACATTTGAAGCCATCTTTGTGTGGATGTGAAAACTTCATTATGAGTAACTGTCCTCAGACTGGCCTCCTGAGATGTGTATCTATAGTACTTTCTTCAAAAAATTTAAGATTGTCCATTGGCTTTAAGTCCAAACAATGGGATTTCATAATACAAATGATATAACTAAATATTTCTGTTGCTTTCATGTTGGGAGGAGAAAGTAGTACGTTGAGGAGGAGGGTTGCTTTGGGGAGCCTAAGATAGAAGTTTTATCTACATTTCCATATTTTCTGTAATACTCCCTAATTCAAGCTCTTAACTTTTGGCTCCTTTCTGAACTATTGTAATGAGCTTCTAAATAGTCTTAGTATGCAGGCTCTTCTCTTTATAATCTAGCTTTTACATTTCTGAACACAAATCTGTTGAATCTTGTTCCAGTCATGTTACCTCCAGCTCAAGACTTTTTGCCTACAAAATAAAGTCCAAAGTTGTCAGCAAAGCACCTTCTCCCCTCTATGCCTTGGCTTATGTTTTGGCTGTAGTGCAACTTACTCATCTTTAGAGGCAACATGAGAAGTCATCTTTGTAAGAATCCACCTCTGATCTCCACAACTGAATATAATTTATTCTTTCACCACAGACTCGTGTTTACCTTGCTCTCATGTCACATAGTCATGATATATCTTGTACTATAAGTGTTTTTAGGTTTGTTTAATCTTCCATGTTAGACTCAGCTCCACAAGGGCAGGGTCCACTATTTTGGCAGTTTAAGAACTGTGTATTGATGTTTAAGAACTATTTTGATGTTTAAGAACTGTATATTGTAGGAACAGGAGGCTCCCACTTCTAACATAATAAACCAGTTTCTCAGTGTTAATCCTATGTCTACCTCCTGGTGCAGATTCTCTTTGCAAACCATTCTAATTTCAATGTTTATTCTGATCTCATTAAACATTTAAATGATATACCTAACTCCCCTTGCTCTAATTCCCTGCTCACCAAGCAGCTGTCTCATAACTTGGGTCCCAAATGTGTTAGACAAGCAGGTGATTCAGTGTCTCAGCCATGATAGCTTTCATTATGGATTTACTCAGTGGTTCCAAAAGTGTGGTCCTTGGACCATTAGCATTAGCATTAGCATCACCTGGGAGCTTGTTAGAAATGCAAAGTCTTGGGCCCACTCAAGAGTTACTGAATCAGAAACTCTGACATCGGGGCCCAGAAATCCGTGTTTTAATAATCATTCCAGGTGATTCTATTATGTGCTAAAGTTTTAGAGCTATTGGATTAATTTATATTCTTAGGACTCTTTAAAAAGATAAGGGTAAGTAAGCAATCCCAAGACTGGTCAACTCTGACTCTGCAAGGATGCAGGCCAGACCCTTGTCTGTGGTAAAAAACAAACGCTATGGGTCCACTTGTGAGGTTTTCTGGTGGGCAGCCTGTGGGCCTCCTTAAGTGAAAGTCCATCCTTGCTCTGTATGGTTTCTATGTCTATCATTGAGTGAAAGTGTGATGTTGATCAAACTGTGTTATTATTAATATGCAAGCATATCTTTTAACACCTACAACTCTTGTATGTGTTTAGTTGGATAAAAAAAAAAAGAACGAAGGCAAAATGAAAAAGATTTAAAAGGCAGTCTCAGGAGAGCATAATAAACACCCAACTTGCACAAACAATAGACTTCCAGTCTTTGAAGTCACAATCATATAAACTATGTATTTAGTCATATCCCTTCTAACACTTTTCACTCAAGACTTAAGAAAATGTGAATAAAAACCAGCAGATTAGCCTGGAAAAAGCAGAAAGAAATACATCTTTCACCTTTCAAGAAAGGAAAACATGCAGAGCATCTAGCAATTGGAAATGTACCATAGAATAATAGGTTTATTATCATATTATTTTATGATGGGATAAAGAACTAAGACAAGTACTAACTTACCACAGATTCAACTCTTCCACTCAAAATCCTATAAGCCTGGGTAGCTTGTGAATTTAACTGATCACTATACTTCTCGTTTGGAATTTGAAAGCTGCTATAGTAAAAGTAAAATTTTTTATCTGTAAAACAAAGGAAAAGCATAATCAGTCTCACATAAACTAAGTACTTTAATCTTTAGTTTATTAAGGATTATGGGAGGCTATATTACACAATTAAACATTTTTGCTTCCCTTAAAAGAAAAAATACTCTAAACAATATAAACGTATCTGTAATAAAATTGTTTTTCTTTTGGTTTTAAAAAATATGGGCAAAGTTTGGACAGTGAAAGGTATGAAAATCAGAACAGCATTATTTGAGAAATTAAATTTTTCAGAAGTATCATTATTTTCACTCTATATTTGGGGAAGATTTATAATTGAAGATTTATTCATTCAAAAATATTAATGAGTGTCTGTAATATGCTGTTATTCATTTATCATTCAGGAATAACCGACAGTAATTCTGAATATTTTAAAAAATCACTTCAAATTATATTCTTTTTAGAGTAATTAGTGGCTTGCCATTCATTTTCTGGACTAAGCTAGAAAATAAATCTTTTGACAATATTTAATCCTATTGTCCAATGTGAATTGTTTCCATCAAAAAATGTTTTTCAGCCCTGGCCTGTTTGGCTCGGTGGTTAAAGCATCAGCCTGTGAACCAAAGAGTTGTAAGTTTGATTCCTGGTCAAGGGCATGTACTTCAGTTGCAAGTTCTAGGCCCTGGTAGGGGTCATGTAGGAGGCAGCCATTTGATGTGTCTCTCTCACATTGATGTTTCTCTCTCTCTCTCTCTCTCTCTCTCTCTCTCTCTCTCTCTCCCTCTCCCTCCCTCCCCCTGCCACTCTATCTGAAAAAATCATTGGCGCCCTGGCCAGTTTGGCTCAGTGGTTAGAGCATTGGCCTGCAGTCCAGAGAGACCGGGTTTGGTTCCTGCTAAGGGCACGTACCTCGGTTGCAGTTTGTCCCCAGCCCTGGTTGGTCGTGCGGGTGGCAGCCACTCGATGTGTCCCTTTCATGTCGGTGTTTCTCTCTTTCTCTCTCCCTCCCACTCTATCTGAACAAAAATGGAAAAAAATGTCCTCTGGTGAGGATAAAAAAAAAAAAATCAATGGAAAAATATCCTCAGGTCAGGATTAATATATCTTCCAGAGGACATATTCTTGGTCTGAAGGAAATAAAAATACCTAAAACATACTGGGCACATCTTAGAAAACATTATGAACATGAACATAACCTAATTTGTCTCAGGGAAGAAAAAAATCCCTACTTCCTTTTGATCATTCATATATATATAATTTACGCAAATAAATAACTCAATGGCAGGAAAAAGTTGGAGATTGTGGGTAGGGTTGGAGATCCTTTGGGGCAGTGGGACAAGCTAGGGCCATAAGTGATTAGTGGGATACACTTTGAAAAGGGCAAACCAAGGTTCCTCCGTTCGTGATTAAGTGTGACAATACAGTGCCATTAAGAGTGAAAATATGGCCCTGGCCAGTTTGGCTCAGCGGTTAGAGTGTTGGCCTGCGGTCTGGAGAGACCCGGGTTCAGTTCCCGCTAAGGGCACGTACCTCGGTTGCAGTTTGTCCCCGACAGGGCCGTGTGGGTGGCAGCCACTTAATGTGTCCCTTTCACATCGATGTTTCCCTCTCTCCCTCTCTCTCTCCTTCCTACTCTATCTGAACAAAAAAAGTCCTCAGATGAGGATAAAAAAAAAAAAAAAGAGTGAAAATATGTTAGTTTAATCTGAAACTTGATGTTTCTTTTGCCTACCTTCATAATGTAATTCATCTTACACATATTTGACATCAGGTGATTTGACAGTAAAATGTAGTCAAAAGCAAAATTCAGCCACAACTTTGTAATTAGGTTGGCTGAAAAGATTGTTCCTAGTCACTTGGTTTTTCTAATATTGGTAACTGTATTGCACCATTGGGAGTTTTTCAACCTTAGCATGATTAAGTATTTTTGCCCATTTGCACTAGCACATACAATAAATTATGTTCTCTCACTTTCCACACTCACACATCCCCACACACCTACACACATCCCCACACCTGTTGTAAAGGATTTAACAGAATTATAGCTGAAATAAAAAGTAACCTCAAAGTGTATTTTTAAGTGAAAAAAGCAGATTATAGCATGTATTATCTAGTGAAATTTGACACATTATATTCATCTATTTTAAAACATTTAAAATAATATTCCCTGAGATATTAAGATAAGTTATTTATTAATAAGCAAGGTATATGTATTCTTTATATTGTTTGTTTCTTGTCCATGTTTCCTATTTTTTTATTTAATAAAAATTAAAGAAAATAACGGAAACATAATAAAAGAACATAATTATTTTCAAAGTTTGTTTTTACTCCTTTCTTCTGCTTAATGCAAATTCACTTTTTATCATAACTGTTCTGTTAATAAGACTATGTTTTCAAGAGACAGATTATACATTAACAAATACTTAGGTACATCCAAATTTTAGGATTGAAACTTAAGGTTCTTTATAATATTTAATTTTTATTTTATCAGGTTATTAAATGGAAAAGGAAATCATGATATTATTAAAAAAAAAGCAAAATAGGCAAATTCTAGTATCAGAAAAGTATCAGGAGATTTTTTGCCTTTGGCTAGAATACTTTTGCCTGGGTAATAATGTTTATTGTACTAAAAAAGGCCAAAAGAGAGAAAAATATATAGATTGAGGAAAAATATAGAAATGAATACATATTTAAGAGTATATAAGTAAGAAATATAATTATTTTACATTAACAAGTAAAAGCAGCAATTAAAGAATGCCAAACTTTTAAAAATATTAGTTTCAGGTGTACAGCATAGTGGTTAGACAATGATATTTGCAAAGTGATCCCCTGATAATTCAAGTTCCCACCTGCCACCATACATAGTTATTACAGTATTGTTGACTACATTCCCTGTGTTGTACTTTATATTTCTGTGACTATTTTGTAACTACCAATTTATACTTCTTAATCCCTTCACCCTTTTTTCCCTCCCATTCCCTAAACTCTCTCCCCTCCAGCAACCATTAATTTGTTCTCTCTGTCTTTGAGTTTATCTCTGTTTTGTATCTTCCTTTATTTTGTTCTTTAGATTCCACATCTACATGAAGTCATATGTTATTTGTCTTCTTCTATCTTATTTTACTTAGCATAATCCGCTCTAGCTTCATCCAGTTTGTCGCAAATGATAAGATTTCGAGGAAAGTCAAACTTTAATCTGAAAGTATATTAGGTTATTTAGACTGAAGAGCGGCACTTTTAATCTTCTGATACTTACCAAAAGCTAAAAAGTGGATCAGTAGAGCTGTTGTAGCTGCCAGGATTAACACTCCTGCGACAACAATGAAGAACACTACATATGGATTTAGGAATCTTGAGGTTGATGGCACCCGGGGCGGCCTTTAAACAAGAGAAAAACATCAAAGGCTACTCATTTCATGAAGAGAAGCTATTCTTTTAGTGCTCATGATCACTTTCTGCCTTCCTAAGTCTCTCAGCTTGCACATGTTGTATTTATGGAAAACCAAGTGATTCTTGATAGAAATTTAGTCTTGGAAATAAATCTTACCTAGACAATATTCTCCTTAATGGTTTTTCTTTACAATATTCTCCTTAATGGTTTTTCTTTGCAAAATCTTTTAGCATTTTGTTGACATTTAGGTAGTTTGATAGAAGAATAAGGAAATCTGACCTGTGGTTTGCAATTGCTTTCTGTTTTTCTGCCAGTTGATGAAATTCTCAAGAATAATAACACATTGTACTCTATTTTGCTATAACTTCTTCCAGGACCCTAAGTTGGACACTTATTGTAGTAAGCTCCCTAACCTGGGCCCCATCTCCAGGACTGTACAGAAGAGAGATCATTTTGAGTGGGGAGAGGAGGAGGGAGTCAGAGCAGTAGCATTTTCCACTGTAATATTATCTGTATTATAAAAACGGAGTTGTGGCCAGAGGCTGAGAGCTAAGGTCCAGGAGAGCAGCAAGCCCCTGAAATGACTTAGAATGGCACCACCAGCAGAGGGTTTGTGTGATTTATGGCTTTTTCTCATGAATTTGTCAACTGCAGTGTAATCCAATATATTTGTAGTAAGACGGTATCTGTTATTGTGTTAGGTCTATGGCCCAGGTACTATCTTTTACACCATCTCCCTCCCACGACACACGCTCATACTGAGGAGGTTCTCAGAAGAGCTGAATATAAATTCCCGTTTTATCCCTTGTTTGATAGGAAATCATATTGTCATTTATCTGAAAAATAGAAATAATACTGTCCTCACAAGGCTGTTTTGAAGATCAATGAGGTTATGTTAGGTGCTATAAAGTATATATTTCTGGTTAAATCAGTTATCCACTGGGCTGTGAACACCTTGAGAGGAAAAATGGTATTCATGCTTATGTTTCTGACACTTTGTGGGGTACCTGGCATACATAAGTGGTTCACAAATATTTATATTTATAAATATTTGCTGCATGTGTTAACTCCTAGTCATATGTCTGATTTTTAATTAATTCATTAATTTTTGTTATAGATGTTTCTCCTTTTTTCATATTTCAGATTTTAAGGCTTTATAAAGCTGAAAAGCAGTTACCTGTAGCTAGAATATGGTCTGACTTTCATTTTTTCTATTTGTTTTGCCAACATTCTGGTGTAAGTGTGAAGGGAATGCCCTGAGGCCAGAGATTCCCAGACATTTAAGTTTCAAAGCAGGGTTGCCTTCTGGTGTCAGGGCTCTACCCAAATCACAGACTTACGGAAGGGCACCTCCTAACATTTTGCAGTGTACTCCCTGTATGTCATATGCTGAGGCTCTGGGACCAGTAACATGTCAGAAGATTATTGGAGGTGGACATAGAATTGCCAACTTTCAATTTTGTTGAATAAACACATTAACACTTAAACATCATTACTTAATAAAAGGGCATTTAAATATGTAAAAGTAGGAAGGACATGCTTTCAGAATAATAAAAAAAAAGATGAATAATTTAGCTTTGGCTTTGTGATGTCTTTTTACGCCATTGCTCTTTTTTGTTCATTTGGTCTATTAGTAAAAACTGATGTTCACTGACATTGATCCAGACACCAATGTTTAGGAACCAGATTTTTTTAGGAACCAGGTTTTTTGGAGAACCAGATTTTTTTAGGAACCAGATTTTTTGGAGAAAATTGGCACTTTGACATTTGTTGACTTTTGATCCTGTTACCTTATGGAGTTGTTGTGTCCATGACAAGTGATCACAAATGCACATGGTGTTTGGCATTTGTGAGTTCAGTGAATGTTAGTGGCTGCCCAGCAGTGGGAGAGCCAAAAGGAGACAGAGTTGGAGGCAAGGTTGAACCTAGAAACCCAAGTAAATTTAAAATTGATCGAGCCTCCTCAAGCAGGGATTGACTGTATTTCCAGAGGCGAACATGTCAAGATTTGTGAACATGGAGAGAGGAGGACTGAGAAACAAAGATTAAATTGGAGGTTCAAACCCAAAAACAAAAACCAAAGGCCAGAGTCATCATATGCTTTAGCTTGGATGAGCCTCCCACAGGAATGACTTTAGAGCCAATTTTGCTTCAGTTCATGGAAAACATCTTAAATTTAATGACTGAAAAGCATCATGAGGCATATGACTCAGTAAACAAAGGGTGTGGAGCCCAAATTTCCTTAATCTCACAAGCCATAGTTAATTACATAAGAATGGATTGTTCCACCCTGTAGAAATGGTGAAGAAATGTCTACTCTTTTTTCAGTGCAGACTTGTCCTCGAACCTTTTTGTATGTGGCAGACTCTAAAGCTTCTGCCAACACAAACTCAACTGTGGACAATATTTACTTTGTAAACTATTGGAGAAAATATGTCCCAGACACTGTCTAAATTCTGTTTCACAATGCAATGGAAATCTGTGCATGAAAAGACTTGGCTGTTAAAACAGGGTCCTGGTAAGTGAGCTTTTTAGTGCTTATGTTTCAACAATAAAACAAATATTCAGTTGTGATATGTTTCACCTGTTTTCCTTCCTCTTTTTTTCATTGACTTGGAAAAGTTACATGAATGTTGCAAAACGTATTCTATACTTTGGAGAGCTGATGTATCACATGTATTGCCAGTCTTCATGATGGTGTTGTAAAGTAGGTTTTAGGATCTTTGTTTTGAAGATGGACTCAGAGAATAAATAACTCCTAATTACTCAGGAATGACAGAACTGGAAAGGGAAACCAGGTTGGTTTGAAGCAAAGAACATGTATTTCCTCTCTCACGCTATGGGAGATGAGAAAGTTTAGGGACTCCCGTCTCTCTAGATCTGACTTGGGGAAGCACAGGGAATCAATATCCATTAAGTGTTGAGATTGTGTCTTACACATAGTAAGTGTGCAATAAAATAATTGTTGATTTAATTTTAAAGTGAAAGTACTGTATCAGATTTATGTAGGAATACTAATTAATCTTTGTAACACATAGTTATAACCAATATATGGCTATGGATTAACAGACCATTTGGCAATTGCAGGAAAACAGTGACAGGGTAATTGCAAATTTAGATACACATAGTATGTACATACAGGACTTTTAGACAATTTTGTGTTCATTTATATAAGACTTCAGGTATCATAGTAATGAAGATTTGCTCATGGTCATCTTCTCCTGCTATGTATTCTTCCTTGATTAATTCCATCCCATGCCATTGTTTCAGCAAGAACTCAGTAGGAAAATACTTCTGAGATAAATTTCCAGCCCAAACCTTTGTCTTTAAGCTCCACAATAACATTTTACTTATTCATTGGACAGCTTATGGATGCTTTATAACCTTCTTAAATATAACAGTTCATTATAAAACTGAACTTGCTATCTTTTCCCCCAGACTGCTTCTAATATTGGAGAATGTCACTACCATCTACCTGGTACCTTAAGTCAGAGATCCAGACATTAGCTGCACTTGGTCTTTCTTGGTGACTTCCCACATTCAAGACAGTCACTAGACAGTACTCATCTTAGCACTGACTCTTTCTCTCTATACCTTCTATTTCTTTCTTAATTCTGGCAGTTATCACCTTACTTATATTTCTTGAAGTGCCTCTTAACTGGTCTCCCTTCTTCCATTAAGTAATCAGTTAATTCAGAAACATTTGGTGGGTACTGGCAATGTTCTAGGTACTGAGAGTACAATGAAAAGAAACAGACAAATGTAGCAGGACTAAATTTTAGTTTGAAAGTACACTTAAGAGAAAGAAAGGAATAAGGTAAAAAAAATAATAAGAAAAAAGAGGCAGGGAAATGGAAAAGAGAGTGCTGAAAATGTAGACTGGATGTTCAGGGAAGGTCATGCTGAGAAGGTGACATTTCAATAAAGACCAGAAGCAGGTGAGTGAGCAAGCCATGAAGATACCAAAAATAATCTAGGCAGAGGGAAACACAGGCCCTGAGCTAGGAACTCTCCTGGTACATTTGGGGAACAGCAGGGAGACAGCTGGACAGAGTGGCGTGAGCAAGTTAGGGGTAGGGATATATTAGAGGGAGATAAAGTTAGAAAAGTAGGAGTAGGGTGTCAGCAGGAGAGAAAGGATCATGTAGAGCTTTGTATGTAAGGGCTTTGGTCTTTGTCTCAGAAAAAGAAAAACAGTCTTTGAGGGTTTTAAGCAACTAAATGACATCAGATCTCTTTTTTAAATAAGATCACTTTGGGAGATGCAGGGGAATAGTGGGCTGGGGATGGAGTGGGAGATGATTTAGGAAATCATTCATTGATTGAGGTGAGAGATGATGGAAGTTTAGGCTATGGTGGTAGCCTTGGAGGTGGTGATAAGTGATCAGAGTCTGGATATATTTTAAATTTAGACCATAGAGAATTTGCTGATGGTTCACTTATGAGATGTAAAATAAAGAGAAATCTAGATTGAATCTAAGATTTTTTTGTTTCTTTCCAATCAACCCTTTAAAATCCTTCAAGGAATTATTTTATTTTATTTTTTAATAGATCTTAGGTTCTTACACTCTTCCCTTCCCCTGCCTCATTTGAAATTTATCTATAGCTTTTCAAGATCCTCATGATGGCACCCAAACCTTCCACATGGCATTTAAAGTGCATCACAGTCACCTTTGCAACTTTAACTTCAGCCACATCCTCGCCTGCTCACTAATTCCCAGCCAGACACCTGGAGCATTTCCATTTTATTTTTAAGTTTCTTTCTTTTCCCACTGAGTAGTTTCTTTCTTGTGCTCTCACTGCCCCTCATCTGATCTCATATTCCCAATGAATTTCTCTATTCTAGCCCTTCCTTGTCCCTTCATGTGGTAAGTAATGATATGTTGCCTGTACCCATATCTAGGTTGTGACTCACGAAAGGTAAGAGATGCATCTTGTCTGTCAGGATATGCCCTGTCCTTAGGACAATACCCATTACAGAGTCCGC